CTTAATAACTAATGACCTTGAGCATGTTGTCATCAGCTTCTTAGCCTTGTGTTTACCTCATCAGTGAAACATCTGTTCATGTCTTGCTCATTGACTCTTTTGCAGTTGGATTTCGTTTTTCCTGTTGAGTTTTTAAAGTTCTTCATGTATTCTGAATACAAGTCTTTATAAAATATCTTCTCTCATTCTGCAGCTTATCTTTTTATGTTCTTCATAGGTCTCTCACTGAGCAACAATTTTTAATTTTGATAAGATCCTATCTATTACCTTTTTCTTTTATGGATCATGCTTTTTGTATTACATGTAAGAACCCTTTGCCCAGTTCTAATTCTGATGATTTTTTCTTAAGAGGTTTGTAATTTTAAATTTTTAGTTATTTTATTATTTATTTTAGAAAAAACATCTCACCCAGGCTGGTCTTGAACCCCTGGTCTCAAGGGATTCCTCCCCAGTCTCAGCCTCAGGAGCAGCTGAGACTACAGGCCTGTCACACCACGCCTGGCTCAATGTTTGTCATGTAAACATATGTTTTACATTGAAGCCTGTGATCCATTTTGAGTTATTCTTTGTATAAGGTGTGAGATTGAGGCCGGGTTGTTTTTAACTTTTGCACTGCGGTTGTCCCGTTGCTCCAGCACCATTTGTTGGGAAAGCTCTCCTTCCTCCATTGAGTGGCTTTGTACTTTTGTAAAAGTCACTTGAGCATATTTGTGTGTTTTGCTCATTTTTAGTTGAGAAGTTCATCTTATTATATTGAGTTTAAGAACTTGTCACATATTCTGGATACAAGTTCTTCATCACAAATGTGATTTGTGATAAATTGTGAAGTATTTTCTCCCAGTCTGTGGCTGATCTTCTCATTTTCTTAATGGCGTCTTTTGGAGCACTCGAGTTCCAAATGTTAACTATGCCCAATTTATCTTTTCTTTTATCATTTGTAGATCATCCTTGTGATATGTTATTTAAGAATCTTTTGCCTAACCACCCAAAGTAAGAAAAAATTTATTCTATATTTTCTTATAGAAATTTTATAGTTTCAACTCATATCGTTTAGCTCTTTAATTAGAGCTGATACTCTACATGGTGTGAGATGTCTAAATCTAACTCTTTTTGTTTCTTGTATTATTTTGTCCACCTGATCAGAGCTAACTACCACTTTAATTCTCGGGTTCAAGTGATTTTCCTGCCTTAGCCTCCTAAAGCACTGGGATGACAGGCGCAAACCACTGAACACTGCCATCTCTTTTACGTTTAGTTGTCCAGTTGTGTCTAAATCATTTGTTGAAAAGACGATTCTTTTTCCACTGAATTACCTAGGCAACTTTGTTGAAGTCAACTGAAAAAAATGTAAGAATATCTTTCTGGTTCTCACTTCTGTTCATTGACCTTTATGTCTCTTGGTTGTACACTATCTGGATTATTATAGTTTTGTATTATGTTTCAATTTTTTTCAAATTTGTGTTGGTTCTTCTGTATCTTTTGCACTTTCACAAGCATTTTAGAATTATTTTGTCAATCTCTAGAAAATGTCCGCTGAGATTTTGATAGAGATTGTGTTGAATCCACAGATCGATTTGGGGGGAATTGCCATCTTAACAACAGTATTGAGCTTTCCAACCAGCATCTCTCCATTTATTTAGACCTTTCCTTTCTCTCAGTAATGTTTTGTATTTTTCAGGGTACAAACACTGCCCTCTTCCTAAATTTATTCCTATTTCATGATTTTTGTAACTATTGCAAAAAAAAATTTTAGATTTTCATTGCAGGTCTAGAGAAATAGAATTGATTTTCGTGTATTGGTTTTATATCCTATGGGCTCTTCTGCACTTTTCTTAGTGCTAGCAGGCTTTTATTTGCATGTGAGTTCTACAGACAGGATCATGTCATCTGTGAATGGAGTTTTGTTTTCCTTTTTGATCCAAATAACTTTAATTTTCATTTTCATTTTTTCCTTACTGTACCAGCCAGGATCTCTAGTACAATATTAAATACACATGATGAGAGTGGACATCTTTGTTTTGATCCCCACCTTGGAGGAAAGCATTCAGTCTTTCGTCATTACATGATTTTAGTTGTGGGTTTTTCACAGATGCCCTTTATCAGAGTAAGGAAGATCTCCTCCATTCCTATTTTGTTGAAAATTGTGCATATGAGTGGTGTTAAGATTTTTGTCAACTGTTTCTTCTGCCTCTATTGAAATAATTATGTGGCTCTGGTCCTTTATTCTATTAATATATTGCATTACATTAATTGATTTCCAAATGTTAAGCCAATCTTGCATTCCTGGGATGAATCCCATTGGTCATGGAATGTAATCCCTTTTATATGGTGTTGTATTCAGTTTGCCAATGTTTGTTAAGGATGTTTGCATTTATGTTCATTGGTGATACTGCTCTGTGTGGTATTCTTTTCCTGTGAGTCTTTGTCTGACTTTGATATGAGGGTAAAGCCAGTTCCACACATGAGCTGGAAGCCTTCCTTCCTCTCCTATTGTCTGAGAGTGCTTTTGAATGATTGCCTTGTTATTTAAGTATTTGATAGAATTCAACAGTGAAAATATCTGGGCTTGGGCATTTCTTTGTGAGAAGGTTTTGAAATTACTGATTTAGTGTAGAGTTCTATTCAGATTTTCTATTTATTCTGGAGTTGCTTTTGGCAATTTGTATCTTTTATGAATTTATCTATTTTACCTAAGTCGTCTAACTTATTGACATAAAGTTGTTCAAAGTATTTACTAATGCTTTTTAATTTCTAAAGGATCATTAGGAACATTCTGTTTTGTTCACAATTTTGGTAATTTATGTCTCATATCTCATAATCCCTGTTTTGACTTTGGAAGTGAATAAAACTGTTTGTCATTTTATTTGGATATTCTTTACAGATTTTCCTGCATTGCTGACTTTGCAGTAAAATTTAATTAAAAAGGAACTCAAATTTGTGGCCCCCTCTCTAGGAAGGTCTGGTGGGAGATGGTATCTGTGGCAGTGGTGATCTCAGGGTGCAGAGGGTGGGCAGAGGCAACCTCAGGCTGAAGGGTCTCAAGAAATCTCCCAGTCCACACAGAAAACGAGATCCACTGTCAGCTGCCAGGGTAGTGGCCTAGGTGGAATTCCTGCTAGGAACAGGATAGGAAGGCCTTGCAGCATCACTACACAGCAGCCCCAGGGTGGAGCTGAGTTCCGGGAGCTAATGGACCAGGCAGAATCAGGGGTGGCCCAAGTGCAGGTCATGAGCCTGGGCGGGTTCAGGAGGTCAGAGAAGGCCGGGCCTCCTCCAGCATGGGGCTCCCTAGTGTGAGGTCAGGTGCAGAACCGTGGTAGTCACGTGATTCGATGCTGGGCCTGCGAACCCCGGGGCTTCCTGATGGGCTTTCCAGTTAGAAGCTGCTTGCTCAGGGCTGAGAGGAGAAGAACCCTGAGCAGTACATTGAGAGAGTAAATGTTTTGTTTCTTGGAGAGAGTTGCTGATGGAGTCACAGGAGGAGACTGGTGAGGGCTGGGAAAAGTGAGATGGGAGAATCAATATGGACATTGTCGTTTCTTCTTTCCTTTTTTTTTTTTTTTTCCTTTTTTTTTTCTTGGCTTGAAATCTGGAGAGCCTGAGGAAGGATTATCCCTAGGAGGATACAAAGATTTCCCAACCATACCTGATTTTTCCTTCCGCACCCCGCCCGCCCCCTCTTAGCCAGCCTTAGGAAGCCACAGGCCAAGTGCCAACACCAGGTGGCGCCAACAGGCCATGAAGGCACCTCGCAGTTGGGATTGTTTCTGGTCAGCTCGCGGGTTCCTGACTTAATGGGGAAGCCTGGACGCTGCAGCCAGGTGACCTGGGTTCAACCTGATCTCACTGGCGCTTTCCCTCCTGGTGCCTCAGTTTCTTCAACTGTGAAATGGTGAGGACATTCCTGCACTTACCTCCAGGGTGGGTTTCTCTACAGCAGCCCTATTAACAGTTTGGGCCAGAGAATTCCTTGTGGAGGGCTCTGTCCTGGGCATTGTGGGAGGTTTGCCGAAGCACCCCACTGACCCCCTCCCGCCAATCCCCACGTGACAACCGAAAATGCCCCAAGCTTTTTGGGATCTCCTTTTGATCTGGGAGCTGCACTTAGCCATTTTCCCACCTGACACTTGAGCTCATCTCTGTTTTGGTCCAAATAAGGCCTCTCTTTTTTAAAAAATATTTTTTCTTTAAAGGTTGTATCTATCTTTTAAACAAATCAATTTTCTTCCTTTATCTTTGCATTCAGTTAATCCTTTCACACTCTTTTTTTAGTATATTTTGAAATGTATCCATTCTAATTCTAGTAATTAGCATATCTAACTTGCATGATAACTGCTATTACCCCAGAGGAGCTCTGATTCCTTGAGTACAGGGAATGGAGTGCATGTTCCTGATTCTGCTCTGGATGACGTAATTCAATTTATTTTACATTACTTGTCTAGGATATTGCTTTTCATTTGTAAAATATAATTTGTGGTTGTGGCTTGAATCACTGGGTGGTTTTATTTCTTTATTCATCTAATATTTGTTGTGTACTTATGCAAGTCAAATACATGGCATGATATTGGTTCATGGATCAAACCACAGCAAATAGGAAACTATATTAAGGACCTTATAGCCAGGAGTGGTGGCATGTTCCGACGGTCCTAGCCATTTGGGAGGCTGAGACAGGAGAATTGCTTGAGCCCAGGAGTTTGAGGTTGCAGTCAGCTCAGCTATGATCACCATTGCATTTCAGCCTGGGCAACAAAGCAAGACCCGTCCCTGAAAAAAAGAAAACAGATATAGTAAGGTGTCTACATGCATTGTACGTCTCAGGAGACTCAAGTCCTGTAATTTTTCTAAATGGTGTCTCCATGCACTTTTTCACGAATGTCTGTCTGGTATTTTTTTTCTATCCTTTTACTTTCAACTTTTCTGTATCTTCTACCAATAGTATGTCTTTTTTTTTTTAATAGTCTATGGTTGTTTATTCATTTATTTATTTTTGCCCCTCTGCATTATTTGCCTTATAATTGGGGTGTTTGAGTCCATCACGTTTAATGTCATTGTCGCCCTAATTGGGTTTAAGTTCACCTTGTCATTTGCTGCTTTCTAACATTGCTTCTTTTTTGCTCCATTATTTTTCTTTTCTTGCCTTTTTTAAACTAATCAAAATCTTTTCACTATTTTACACTTCCTAAGTGTTCTAATTACCGATTGTCTTATCATTCCCTTAGTCATCCAAGAAAGAACAATGTTAATCTGTAACTTATTGTAACCAATTGGAAACCGTAACTTCCCTTTCACACACCTGTGTAAATAGCCCAGGAGAGAATCAATGCTCTGGCTCTGAGACACCTGAGACACTGGGGGTCAGCGGGGTGGAAGCAGGAGAGTAACTGGATGGTGAAGCTGTAGCTGCAGAGGCATCCGGGCCCCTCACCTGCACTCCTCGTAGATGTCTCCTCCACTGAATGCCTGCGATGCCGTCTCCTCTGTATGCTCCTGCCAGAGTCTCCCCATCTCCACTGACAGCAGCTCCACCCTTCTACACTCACAGTCTCAAACTATGGCTGTCCTTGATTCTTCTTTCTCAGATCAAAGATACAATTTATTAGCAAATACTATGATGCAAACAGAATCCTATCACTTCTCATTATTTCCACTGCTCACATCCAGGTCTAGGTAACCGACATCTCTGTCCTGAAACGCTACATGCCTTTCCCACTGTTTTCTCTACTGCCTCGCTTTCACCACCTCTCAATTCTGTTCTCAGTAGAGCAGCCAGAGAGAAGCTTTTAAAGAATATGTCCTGCCATGTCCCACTTTTCAAAACTGTACCCTAACACCCCATATCATTCAGAGCGAAAGAGAAAACCCTGCCCACACCCTCCAGGCCTGTCTGCTCTGGCCACACCTCAGAGCTCATCTCAGTTACTCTGTCCAGCCCTTCCGGCCTCTTCCTACTTCCAGAACACAGACATCATCCTGACCTAGTGTAATTGCATGGGAGCCTCGTCGCCTGGAAAGAACTTTCCTATACATCCTCACAGATATCTCCTTATATCCTTCAAATCTTTCTTCAAGACCTAGAAGCAGCTTCTCTGCTCCTTCTTGAATCTCTGCCAGGCTCAGCACACTTACCCCACTATGTCCATCAGGGTGACCCAGAAGTACTACAAGGTATTCCTCTCTGGCCCCCAGGCCTTCAGCAGCTGCTCCTACATGAGCGGGCCTGGTGCCCACATCAGCTCCTTGAGCTTCTCCTAAGTGGGCAGCAGTGGCAGCAGCTTTGAGGGTGGCTTGGGCACAGCAAAGCTCTGGGTGGAGGCTGTGGCAAGGCTTGTGGAATGTGGGGCATGACAGCCATCATGTTTAACCAGAGCCTGCTGAGCCCCCTTAAGCTGGAGGTGAACCCCAACACCCAGGCCAAATGCACACAGGAGAAGGGGCAGATCAACACCCTCAACAACAAATTTGCCTTTTTGATCAACAGGGTACGGTTTCTGGAGCAGTAGATCAAGATGATGGAGACGAAGTGGAGCCTCCTAAAGCAGCAGAAGATGACTCAGAGGAACATGGACCACATGACTGAGAGCCACATCACCCTTCGGCAGCAGCTGGACACTCTGGGCCAGGAAAAGCTAAAGCTGGAGGTGGAGTTTGGCAACACACAGGGGCTGGTGGAAGATTTCAAGAACAAATACGAGGATGAGATCAATAATCACACAAAGATGGAGAATGAATTTGTCCTCATCAAGAAGAATGTGGATGAAGCTGACATGAACAAGGTAGAGCTGGAGTCTCACCTGGAAGGGCTGACTGAGGAGATCAACTTCCTCCGGCAGCTGTATGAACAGGAGATCCGGGAGCTGCAGTCCCCAACCTCAGACACATCTGTGATGCTGTCCATGGACAATATCCACTCCCTGGACTTGGACAGCATCATCACTGAGGTTAAGGCCCAGTAAGAGATCGCCAGCCGCAGCCAGGCTGAGGCTGAGAGCCTGCACCAGATCAAGTAGGAGGAGCAGCCGGCTCCGGCTGGGAAGCATAGGATGAACTTTGTCACATGAACACGGAAATCTCAGAGATGACCTGGAACCTCGGGTGGCTTCAGGCTGAGATTGAGGGCCTCAAAAACCAGTGGGCCCCCCTGCAGGCCATCATCACGGTTGCCAAGAAGCATGAGGAAATGGCCATTAATGAAGCCAAGCTGTCCGCGCTGGAGGCCACCCAACAGTGTGCAAAGCAGGACATGCCGTGGCAGCTGTGCCAGTACCAGGAGCTGATGAACATCAGGCAGGTCCTGGACATCGAGATCGCCACCTACAGGAAGCTGCTACAGGGCAAGGAGAGCTGGCTGGAATCTGGGATATGGAACCTGAGTATCCACAGGAGCACCACCAGTGGCTACTCAGGTGAGCTGAGCTTGGCCTACAGGGGCCTCACAAGCCCTGGCCTCAGCTACAGCCTGGGTTCCAGCTCCTTCAGCTGCACCAGCTCTTCCAGGGCCATGGCTATGAGGAACATTAAGACCATTAAGACCCGTGGTAGGAAGCTGCTGTCCAAGTCCTCAAACGCGCTGCCCAAGTAAACTGCCACAACAGACTCTCTTAATCTACCCCTTCCTGTGACTGCCCCAGAGCCTGTGGGGGAGGCCACTGTGCAGGGGAGCATCGGGGACAGGAGACCCACCTGAGGCTCAGCCCTCACCATCAGCCCACCTGTGGGGGAGTTCACTGCCTGGGGTACCCTCACTTGCACATGCCTTCAGCTACAAAGTAACTGTGTGTCTGTGTGTGCGTGTGTGTTTTCATAATAAAGCCACAATTAGCTCTGCCAACTGTGAAAAAGAAATCTTTCATTGAAGGTCACATTTGAAAGAAGGCCCACACTGATCACAGTACAACAGCCACCTCCCTGTCCCCACAGCCCACACTCTGCATCACCCCCCACAGCACTTGCCACCTTCTAACACGAGCATTGTCCTTCCTTACTCTGCGCATAGTGTATCTTACGTCTGCCTCTTCTCCCTAGAACATATGCACCACGAGGCCAGAAATTTTTACTTTAAAGATGTTTTCCAAATGCAAAAACAGCCATTTACCTAGCAGACAACAAATGTCAGTTCAATGAATGATCACCATAGAGCACCTCCTTATTCTAAAGGCAATATCTTTATTAATGTAGCCTCAGGCCAAATGCTGTTTTGTGGCAGCTACAGCACAACATCCTCTCAAACTGACAGTGCCGCCAGCGCTTTTGTCACCAATGCTGCCTGTGTGCCCCTCCTCCCCTCACCCCTCCTCCCACACCAACCCTCCTGCATATGGCAGCATACAATCATATGTCTCTCTTCAGGAAAGATAATCCTAGGATTATAAGTGCAATTTTCTAACTGCGTATAAATCTAAATCAGACTCTGTTTTACAAATCCATGGGTTTGTATTGGAGTTGGCACTAGGATCACTACAACTCGGGGCAGGAGGAGGAGTAGGAGAGAAAGCAGAAGGAGTTCCAACAGAAAGTTACCTATGATGAGAAACTATGGGCTCTTCCTCTCTGCAAATGTCAGAATCTGGTTCCTGTAAGAAGGCTGGTGAAAAGATGGAAAATACAATCCAGGAAGAGCCCTGGAAGGAGGACAAGCACTGGACGGGACTGAAAGCTCAGTCTCTTGATAGCACAAGGACTTCTGTGTGCAGGGACTGCTCTAAATGACATCTCAGTCCCTGTGATCACAGGTCCTGGTGGGACAAGGTTCTACTGAAGGACCAAGGCCATTGGAGCAGCAAAGATGACCCAGCCAAGCAGTGACCACATAAAGCCCACAGCGGCCTGAGCTCCCACCAGCCACAGCCCATCTACTCTCCTATGCAAGAGATCAGTAGAAGAAACACATAGACTCCGGAAGGTTCTCAGGTCTTCCATTTATTTTGTCTCATAAGTTTTAGTAATCTCCTCCTTTAATTAACTCATCAACCTCTCATGGCAAGAATTTGAAGAAGTAAATTTATACTCAGATTCTAATTTAATAGGGAAGCAGGAAATTGCAGCTCAGTACACCATGAAGTTCAGACAGACATAAAGACATCCAAGCCCCATGTCTCTGGAAGAGGAAACATAACTGGGCAGAAACAACATGGGGCCGTGCAGGGAAGGGGGTCATGGAGGACATGGGGGTGGACTGGTCCCCCACCTTCTCACATTATACTAACAGGGACGAAGACACATTTGGACACCTTTACAGAAAGAGAATTCAGGGTACTCAAAGTCACAAAAGGGAGGCGTGAACAAATCTTGCTTCTCAGTCCCACACAAGGCGGCTATCTCACGCTATAGAGAAAATGTTCATGAACAAATTCGTATTAGTCACAGTGAGAGGTGACACTCTGAACCGCCCTTCGCATACTCAGGACATCCAAGTCAAAGAAACCCCATAGCACACTCACATTCCCTCTGTTCCCCACAATACCCCACTTACATCAGGGCCCCTGCCCCCAAGTGTCACCTTTATAAGTTATGAGAGACACACCAAAGCCCTGGGCAGTGTCAATGACTGGGGTAGAACACAAACAGGACCTGATCAGAGCCCACAGGAGATGCAGATAGAGGAGGAACTGTGGGCTGGGCCAGCTTCCCCTTGGGCTCCCAACCACAATATCCCAATGATCTCAGGGTTCAGCCCCCTTCATACTTACTTGCAGCCTGAGAGTAGCTCTCTCTGTTTCTATCTGTGGGAAGAAAATGTCCTGTGAGAGGCTGAAAAGGAGGCAGGGCCATAAGGCCCTAGAGCAACCCTCTAGTCTTTGATCCCAGAGAAGTTCTCAGAAATATATAACTGCAGATCCAGGGCAGGATCAGAAAATAAGAAGAAAGCAGGTGTGGGTCCTGGACCAATTGTTCTCCTAAGGTCTGTCCTCAGCAGGGACCTTCCCCTGTGATTTGTGACTGTTGGCAATCAGATCCCCACCACCACAGTCTTCGAAGTGAAGAATCTGTTATTCATTTTTGCTTTAAAAATGAGTAAGTATTGTCACACAGGTACCCGGCTGGGTAGGCCCATGTGTGTGGGTGGTGCTTCCCAGTAAGAAGACAGGGCACACTTCTACCTGGGGCTCAAAAACCCCCCTAGGACAAGAAAACTCAGACCCCACTCCTCACCCCTTCCCAACCTGAGATCTTCTTCCTCCACATCACAGCTCCAGTGACCACAGCTCCAAGGACAACCAGGCCAGCAACCATGCCCACGATGGGGACGGTGGGCTGGGAAGATGGCTCTGGGAAAGGAGGGGAAGGTGAGGGGCCCTGATCCCCAGGTCTTAGCCTGCTGAAGGGCTTCAGAAGGGCTCCTACTTCTCCTGAGAAAAGACATGACCTCTCATCCTCCCCTTTACCCCATCTCACTCCTTACCCCATCTCAGGGTGAAGGGCTCCGGCAGCCCCTCGTGCTGCACATGGCACGTGTATCGCTGCTCCTCCCCAGAAAGCACCACCACAGCTGCCCACTTCTGGAAGGTTCCATCCCCTGCGGGCCTGGTCTCCACAAGCTCCGTGTCCTGGGTCTGCTCCTCCCCATCCCTCTGCCAGGTCAGCGTGATCTCTGCAGGGTAGAAGCCCAGGGCCCAGCACCTCAGGGTGGCCTCATGGTCAGAGATAGGGTGGTGGGCAATGTGTGCCTTTGGAGGATCTGAGAAGAGGCAGAAAATTCAGACACTTTGCACTCCTCATGGGACACCCAGCAGTGCTCATGTGACCATCCTGAGAATGGACAGGACACCTGGGATAATCTCTTATTCCTTGCAGAGTTCGAGTCTCTGAGGGGGAATAGGGACTTCTGGCCCTGACCTAAGTGGAGGCCGAGGGACTTAGAAGAGCTGGAATCAGAGCACCACACACATTTTGTGTGAGGCAGAGAAGGCCTGAGAGCAAAAGTCACGGGGCCTGAGGCTGTTGCAGGGGTCAAAGGGGACCGCTGATCAGTACTTCAGGGACTGTCTTCCCTTCCATTCCCTCAAAGACTACATCCCTTAACTGTCCCAGCGAGCAGGTCGGATACTCAGAGACACTCTCTGGTACAGGATCCGGAAACCCGGAGGATTCTTCCCACTCAGGACTAGAGGGAGGGCGGTATTCTAGGGTTGATCCCATTTTCCTCCCCTTGTGGAGGGAAGCCAACCCAGGAGATATACAGGAGATGGAAAGCCAGGAAGATTCTTGGCACACAGGACCAGCGGGAGGGCGATATTATAGCGTTGGTCCCTTTTTCCTCCCCTACTTGTTCGAGGCCAGCCCGGGAGATTACAGGAGATGGTGAAGGCGCCCTGTGGCCCCTGGTACCCGCGCGCTGCAGCGTCTCCTTCCCGTTCTCCAGGTATCTGTGGAGCCACTCCACGCACCCGCCCTTCAGGTAGATGCTGAACTCCTCTGCATATTTTTCTGCCTCATACATGCGCTGGGTGATTTGAGCCGCTGTGTCCGCCGCGGTCCAGGAGCGCAGGTCCTCGTTCAGGGAGATGTAGTCCTTGCCGTCGTAGGCGTGCTGGTGATACCCGCGGAGGAAGCGTCCATCGGGTCCCACATCGCAGCCATTAGTGCCCTGGAGGGTGTGAGACCCTGGCCCCGCCCCCGCGGTCAGCCCCGCCCACCGAGTCCCGCCCACGCCCCGACCAACCCGCGGGGATTTTGGCCTAAACTGAAATGAAACTGGGTAAAGACGCCTGGGGCTCTCCCGGGTGGAGAATCTGGGCAGGTCCGGTAGTCTCAGGGTGGATCTCGGACGGGAGGCTCGGGGAGACCCAGGCCCTCCGTGGGGGATGGGGAGGGGTCCTGACCTGCTCCCTCCTCCCGCCCCCCCGCCCGGCCCCGCCCCAGAGTCGCTCACCGTCCTCGCTCTGGTTGTAGTAGCCAAGCAGTTTCCGCAGTTTCACTCGGTCAGTCTGGGCGTTGGCCTTGACGACCCGTGTCTGGTGCTCCCAATATTCCGGCCCCTCCTGCTCCACCCACGGCGCCCGCGGCTCCATCCTCGGACTCGGGTCGTCGCTGTCAAACCGCACGAACAGCGTGTCGTCCACGTAGCCCACTCCGATGTACCTGTATCGGGGCTCCCCGCGGCCGGGCCGGGACGTGGCGGTGCTGAAATACCTCAAGGAGTGTGACCCTGGGGGCGAGAAGGGGCTGAGACCCTCCCAACCCTCCTCCCAGCCTGGCTCTCTCCGTCCTGCGCCCCCGCTGGGCAGGCCCCTCACTCCTCCCAGCAGAGGCGGTTTCCCTCCCCACCCTGCACTCACCCGCCCAGGTCTCGGTCACGATCAGGGCCCCCAAGAGCAGCAGGAGGAGGGTTCGGGGCGCCATGACCCCAACCTCCGTATTTGGAGAGAACCTGAGTCCCGGTGGGTGCGTGGGGACTTTAGAATCGGGACCAAGGCCACGCTGATTGGCTTCTATAGAAACCCAACACCCAAGAGGAGTGAGAACTGGGTCCGCGTCATGAGTATCCTGGAAGAAGGACCCGACGCAAGTTGGGAAAGAAAGAGAAACTGCTGATATGGGGAATCCCCACATACTGAACTTCCCCACCCCAGACCTGAGCCACTGAGAGCCACATCTGGGGCGGTGGGACTTCACCTTGAACCACCTCCTCCTGCGCAGGGTGTGTCTCAGGGTCTCCCTGAGCCTTTGTCCAGAGGCTGAGAAACCAGGGAGAAACCCTTCGCATGAAACCCAAGTGAAGTCCTCTACCTTCACTTTTCATCCCAGAATCCCTGTCCCTGGACTGACCTTTCTGCCTGCCACTCTGTAGCTGGACTCCCCTGGACTCTTTTGGAAGAAAACTCACTCCACGAAGCTTGGCGCCAGAGAGTGAGCTTGGACGGGGAATGGAGGTGTAGAGCCAGTTTTTATTTTTTCTTCTTTAAATCTGGAAAAGTTGTGCCTGAGCTCATGAGATAGAACGGAGACCAGTTTCGTTTTTATTAGCTGCAGTGAATAGTAGAATCTTGGTAAGCTTTGAATGATCAGGGATCTTATCTGTGAGAATTGTTACTTTGGCCCCTTGATATATAAATGTGTCTAAACATATTACAACCGACAACTCACAGAGCTCCTAAGTTTTGCTTTCCAAGACTGTGTATCTGTGACCCTTGTTGTAATTTAAAATTACCTTCATTCCACAGCCCTGAGTTTCTGTGTGAGTCCAGGACATCTCCTCAGTACAAAGTACACACTGTGTTACTGTATGTTGCAACCAGGAGCCAGTACAGATTTCATTCACCTCACAGTCGCAAGTGTTCAATGCAGTCACAATGCCCCCCACCAGTGCTCATGCACTGCCTGTTTTTAGGAAGTGTCTGCATCTAAGTGGTGTGCATATTTTATTGGAACCCTTAGTATTTTTTTAAACCTGAAAAAAAGCATAAAAAGCAGTTAGTTTTGAGGCAGTCCCACATAGGGTGTTAAAGGCCAAATGCAAGGAACACCCTGCTAGGCCCTGTAGACGGATGTATTAAAAATCTGTAAAGCAATGTGTTTAAACCTAAGAATTCTGCTGCTTTCGAATCCTTTCCCTCCATTCCTTTTACTCGCCTCCTGCTTCTCCAGCCCTTCCCTCCATCCCGATCATCCCTCTTATCCCTCAGGGCTTCCTCTCCCTTTATTCCCCACTATCCTGTCACTCCTGAATTGTGACTCTAGCATTGTCCTATTACCTGCTACGTGACTGTTCTCTCCACAGTGGTCCTGCTACTGTGAGTCAGAGTGTCTCATTTCTTCACCTAAAACACTGCAATGACTCCACCAATCTTGTGAAGCTTCTAGCATGTCAGGCACGTGAGCATATGAGGGCATACCTGGTTCAGCTTAGGGACTAAATTAATTTTTCTTGGCTGATTGAATGAAATACCATTATTTTAAAATTTAATTGCATCACAGAATATTATAAAATGAAAAATACTTGGAAAAGAGAGTATTCTATTTTATGCATGTGGTGTGCATATAAATTTATAAATTCATTCTGTGTGTCTGTTGATCCTGTGTATGAATTTTATATGACTGCATAACAAATTGCCACAACATTGGCTTTAAACAATGCCCTTTTATTGTATTTATTTATTTATTTTCAGAGACAGAGTCTCCCTCTGTCATCCAGGGTGAAGTGCAGTTGCATGATCATGGCTCACTGCAGCCTCAAACTCCTGGCCTCTAGGGTCCCCCTGCCTCAGTCTCCAGAGTAGCCTAGATTACAGGGAAGTGCCACCATGCCCAACTAAATTCTTTTTTAAAAAATCTTTTTTGTAGAGAAGTTCTCCCTGTAGGGCTGAGGGTCTCACAGGGTCATGGGCTGTCCTTTATGCTGTGCTGATGCGCAGGATCCAAGAAATAAAGACACAGGACACAGAAGTACAAGGAAAATGCAGCTGGGCTCAAGGGGCCACACCACCTATGAGTGGGGTCAGGCGAGGCCCCGAATATCCAAAAGCATGTGTATTTATTGTGTATAGATTAAGGGGCAGGGCAGTGGGTGAAATCATCTTTAAGAATAGTGATAGGGTCATGAGCAATAAAACAAGGGGTCCACCCCCATTAGGTCACTGAGGCATGGAGGTAGGCTGTGCGCAGTGAAGATGGTGCAGTGTGCGATACCTCTATCTATGGGCAAGCTACTTCTAATATTTATAGGAGGATGCTTTAAGTCACACAGCAGTGACAGAGCTGTCAGGGTTACCGTCACCTGCTGGCAGCTTCCATTGAGTTCTAAAGGAAGATTTGATCAGCACAGTAACAAGAGCTGATAAAGTTCACAGTCACCAAAGTGCAATTACCAGTCTGAGGGCAGTCTTCCACAAGAACTGGAGCAAGGTCCTACAACTCCTTTATCAGGAGGAGTGGCTCTTGCCCCAAACCTGCCATATAGTGGGTATCTTTACAATACTGAATGCTGCCACCTGGGCCATGGGTTCTTGTCCTGGTATAACCATTTTCCCTTAAATCATGCTCTTCCCTGTGTCTGCTCCAGACATTCCTCTGATTATAAGCTGCTTATTCCTTAACTCATGCTCTGTACTGTGTCTACTCTAGGCATTCCTCCAATTATGAACTAAGATATATATATATATATATATATGGAAATAACTGTTTGGTAAGATTTTCTTTAGACACTCATTCTATGAACTAACATATGATTATATATAGAGGATTATATAAAGGGAAATAACTGAGTAGTAACACTATAAACTGAGATATTCCCCAAGCCCTAATTCTGTAAACTAATATTTGATTACATAAAGGATTGTATAAAAGGAAATAACTGAGTAATAACACTATCAACTGAGATATTCTTCAGGCCTTAATTGTGCCAGGATTCTGCTTAGCTCTCCTTCCTTGGTGCCTATATGGGGGTTGCCCACACCTCCCAAATTGCCCACTCTCAAATTCCTGGTTGCAAGTCATCCTCCTCCGTCATTCGCATAAACCTTAGGATTACAGGGGTGAGCTACCATGCCTGAACAAACCACTTATTTATTTATTTACAGTTCCTTAGTCAGAATTCTGGGCATGATTGGAGGGTTCTCTGTTTAGGGCTTCCCAAAGCTGTGTTTTCATTTTGAGGGCCTCCTTCAGGCTTATATAGAGGCGACAGAATTCAGTTTCTGGCAGTTGTAGGACTGAGGTCCCTGTTCCTTGCCTCCTGTCAAGGTAGAGAGAGGCTTCTATCAATTCCTGGTGCCCACCAGCATTCTTTGCCACACAGTGGAGGAAACCCCTCATGCTGAATCCCTCTCACACTGTGAATCTCTATGCTCAGGGAGAACCCAGCCCTTTCACGGGCTCACCAGATGAGGATGGCCTGAACCAGGATAGTCCCTGTCTTAAAGTCAACTGATTTAGGATCTCAACTATATATGTAAAAATCCCTTCATGGCAGCACCTATATTATTGTTGGTTAAATAACTGGGGCAGGTGAATGACCAGGGGCACACGTCTATCATGGGGGCCGTGATAGAATCCGCCTAGCATGGCCTGGGTCTTTCTTTTGACTTTAAATGGGACACAGTTGGAAATTGAAGTTCAAATAAAGCAATCATTGAGAATGACAATAAAATACATCATATTTAGCCATGGAAATTCTTCTTACCTCTTAAAACCCAATGTTATGTTTAATATTCTATAATCAATTTAGGCCGGAAGCTGTGGCGCATGCCTGTAATACCAGTACTTTTAGAAGCAGAGTCAGGCAGAGAGCTTAATTTCACAAGTTAAAGATCAGCCTAGTCAGCATGGCAAAACCTTTGTCTCTACCAAAAATATAAAAATTTTAGCCAGGCATGGTGGTGCATGCCTGTACTCCCAGCTACTCAGACAGCTGATGTGGGAAGATCACTTGAGCTCAGAAGGTCGAGGCTGCAGTGAGCTGTCATCCTGCCACAGCACTCCCGCCTGAGTGACAGAGAAAGACCCTGTCTCCATAATAATGATGATGATAATAATAAGAAATTTAGAACAAATGAAAATTTAAGTGAATTAATTTATCGTCTCTTGTGAAGCTGTATTAGTTATTTACTGTTGTATAACAAATTACTGAAAGCTTAACAGATCTCACATTTTCCAATACTCAGGAACCCAGGAGAGGTTTCTCTGAGTGCTTCTGGCTCAGGGCCTCTCACAAGCTTGCAGTCCAGTTGTCAGCCAAGGGCTGCATCATCTGAGGGCTCAACTGGAGCTGGGAATCCATATGAAACATGGCTCAGTCAAATGGCCATTGAAAAAGGCCTTGTTCCTTGTTTTCTGGTCCCAGGAGGTCTCACTTCTTAGCCACATGGACTTTCCTACAGGGCTGCTTATGACACAGCATCTGGCTTCTCCTGGAGCTCATGATCCCAGAGATAGAGAGAGAGAAGGGGGAAGACACTGTGAGTTTTATATTCCACACTCAGAGTCACAAACTCTTATGTCAACATTACTCTTTCCGTTAGAAGTTGTATCAATCTGTTCTCACACTTCTATAAAGAAATAACTGAGACTGGGTAATTTATAAAGGAAAGAAATTTAATTGACTCACAGTTCTGCATGAGGAGGCAGGCTCAGGAAACTTACATTCCTGAGGTGGGCAGAAGGGTAAGCAAATGTGTCCTTCTTCACATGGTTTCAGGAGAGAGAAATGCAGAACAAAATGAGGAACAGCCCCTTATAAAACCATCAGATCGCATGAGAACTCACTATTATCATGAGAACAGCATGGGGAACCATCCCCATGATCCAATCACCTCCCACAAGGTCTCTCCCCCAGCACATGGGAATTAAAATTCACATGACAATTCAAGATGAGATTTGAGTGGGGACACAGAGCCAGACCATATCAGAAGGGCATCCTTACTTCCAAGCCCCACTCACAGGGAGGGAATTAAGCAGCATCTTTGGAAGGGAGGAGTATCAAATAATTTGTATACATGTTAAAAGCAAAATT